TGCTAAATTAGGGACGGCTAGCGCAGATAGCCCTCGTGTAGCTTTGCACGAAATTCAAAACAAACAAACTCATTAATAGAAAACAATGTTATCGGCTGTAGTTCTACTAGATTAATAAAAACATATACATAGATAGTCGCAGATTTCAAATAATAGTAAAGTTTCACTTTTTAGTCCCAATTGACCTTATATGTTACTACTAGCATTAAATTGTTGTCAATACCAAATCGTCTCCCCTCCCTGTTTCAGATCCCTAATTAAAAGACCACCTGCTATCAAAACTTGTCAAAAGGGTCATCATGAAGTATACGTCCCCCCCCCCTCCTGTGAAGTTTGCAGACTTACAATGCTAAATCCCGAAATTCGATTACCCACAGTGGACAGAGCAGATGTCTCAATGTGGCCTTGCGCCTAAACAACGAAATATGCTTAATCATGACGTTCGTATAGGGAACAAAGATGACAAAGAACCACTTATCGTAAAATAAATAGTGACAAGCGTTTAACGTCAAGTCCTGCCTATTTCAGAACCCCCCAGATGCTGCTTAACTAATTTCTTAAAATTAACTTACCAGCTAAACTTGTTACTGTACATTTTTGATGTATAACTAAGACTCGGAGGCTAAATAACTACTCATTTTCCACTCCTACATAAACTTCCTCGAATTATGGGTATGTCCAACCTGTCAATCTTATTTATTAATGACAAGATTAGTATAACTGGGTTTTAGTTCCTGCCAGCGATGGGCAGATGATGTTAAAAGGACAGAGGCTCATTGACAAAAAAAGGGCGATTTTCAAGCATCGTAAAGCAAGACCTTTTTTTGGAGGAAGGAAGTGTTAAAGGAAATTATGGGGACTGCGGGTTGCCTCTTGTACACATAGAGACAAAATCCATAGGAAACAAACAGATCCTCTTTTATTCTTATTCAGTCATAGTGTTATATATCTTATATAAGTTTAGTCTTATTGAAATCTAAAACTAAACGGTGAATTATTGTGTATTAATACTTAATAGCATATCATAACCAGTATTATTTACTGTAAATACCTACAAATCCCTGTGTGCCATTCAATTTAAAGCTGAAATCTTTTTATTTTTTTCCTCTAATAACTCGTATCAAGCAAGATGTGGAATCAAATGTGTCTTTTAGTAGTTAAGGACGATTTATATGACTGAGAAAAAGGGCACTTTGGGGGCATAAGAGCAAAAAGGCAAGAGCTTGAGCACATTCACCCCACCCTCCTGTGCTATATCACTTGTTCCTGCATCATATCAGTTTAGAACCTAAAAATCTGAATGGATATGCTTGTGGAAGTTCACAATGTTTAAAGCTAATATATATATATATATATGGTAAGAACAAGTAGAAGGAAGGATAAATAAAAGAGAGCGTTTAGTTATGCAAGGTTTTAAAAGTGAGATTTTAGTTAGGCATATAAACCGCATAGATGCTGTGCAACTAGCTTGTTATTTTAGTGTGATTTCGCTTAGTACAAAATACTTAAATGACAGCAGTCACAGTCTTACGTTTTCTCAAACAGACCTAATTTTGTCCTCTTTTTTTGCCATTTTCCAGGTGAACAAAATGATTTTAAAGAAATATTTTTGTCGCTCCATAGCTACACTGGACATCAATGTTGTTATGGTATGTCTCTTCTTTTTTTTTTTTTCATCAACCCTGTAAGGTTTAATCATTAATTTCTCACATCGGTAGCTGGATAACGTTTTTATTAAGGTTGCTAACATACCAAACATATTGAGCCCACAGACTAGAAACTAAATCCAAATCACATCCTTAACGCCCCTTGTTTCTATAACAATTGTAAACACAAGGACCAACAGTAACTTACTTAGCACACGACTAATAATTCATAATTACTCACTTGTAAAAGAAAAGTGTAGGAGATGAATGATGATGAAGATCAGTATCTTTATTGGGTACGTAAAAGGCCAAACCCTGAAAATAAAGAAGAAGAAAAAAACGCAAGTTATATGAACAAAGAGATAAACTATTTAAAACTAAGCAATTGTAGAGATATAAAGTTTTATTGCTGGAACTATACAACCTTTATCATTCCGGTCAACCAGTTAGATGTGGTAAAGGGTGTCACTATGTAAAATTTAATATGTGTATTTGAGGAAGGATTGTTTTTATACTGTATTATTTTGCTATAATCGTTTTCTTTGGATTTACTCACGCATAAAAAGTGCTTTATAAACTCAATTTTTATATAAGTTTACAGGAAAACTGTACTTCAAGATATCCAACTATATCTAAAACCTTACTGGTTTGAAAGTTATAATATAAAACAAAATTAATCCAATAATAAAGCCCGTGCCATATCCGGCTGTGAACTTCGAATTTTCGAGTACTATCAGAGCCTGATAATTGTGAGAAATGCCGTGTAGTAAGTAAACCTACATATTTTTCCAATAGCTCATGGAACGCACTTCGTGCAAGAAGAAACCGAGGTTTATCTGTTCTTCAATTAAGCATGAAGTGAGGTCATGTTCATGGTAAGGTTGTTGTCCTATTCCAGGAATGGGCTGAATGAACCATACGATTTTCATCTGCAGTTGTCACATTCCGACATCAGCACGTGATACCGTACCACAGTCATACATATGTGACGTTAAGCAGTTTTCAGTTAAATTTGTGATTAACATAGTGTTCATTCACTTATAAACATACATATATTCATTTGTCATTCATCGTTTTTTTAAAGTCACAAGTTACGTGTTATAACATGATTTATCAACATATACTAATGATATCAACACGGTGTACCCCACTGGGAAGGTTCAACGTTAAGTTTACGACAACGTCAAATGACATAGCTCACAGTCCATATACTGGCATATCTCGTCTACCGGTGGCTCAGCAGTAAGCTTAAGGCTTATAACGCTAAACTCGGGATTCGATACTCGAAGCGGGCACAGTGTAGATAACACCTTTGTGCAGTTTCGTGTTTCGTTAACTGACCTGACATATCCTCCTCTTTCTATTGTCCAGTCATCATCAAAGTATGCGAAACAGTGCTGTCATCTGGCGTATCTAAATTTTCAACTCGACAAAAAGCTTTTCTCCACACAAATTAATACAGGACACCAATTGCGAGACAACAATGTTTTCAACATAACAGCTGAATCCCTTCCCACACTGACGTAATAACATTACTTACATCAATGAACATAGTTACAACAGACGTAGAGGCACTAAAACAAGTCAGGATACAGAAATGTTTTGAAAACTCTGAAACTGAAAAACTGAAAAATCAAACAAAATTTTTTTCCTATGACAAATCATCCAAAAATCTCACTCGTACTAGTAAAACAAACATACTAAATTACACCTTGGTTCGTTCTTAACGTAATTTTACCCAACTTTGCGAATTTATTTCCAAACACTTCGAAATATGCTATAAATCGTTACACCTTATATGTGAAAATGAATAAATCTTGGCTCAGTAGACTTCTCTTAAGTGTTGACAGTAAACAGCGTATGGCAACGGCATATAACCCAAACTTGCAGTTCGTCATCAAGACCACTAGTGAACCCAACCAACAATGTGCTAAACCTCATGTGTGATAGTACAAAATGTGATTTGTTGTTGAACTCTTCTAAACTTAACCCGACCCAAACCTGTTAGCCGTAGTGGTCTCTTACAAAATATGCACTTTTATATGTGCGTTTAGTTTTCAAATACTTTCCAAAATCATTCGTTATCCTCAGTGTAATGGTATTGTCAACCAGAGTCCATAACATATGGTATAATCAAGACTTTTGATTACGCTGGGAATCTATAAGTATACAACTTTGACAGCCCATAACGTAGGGCAAAGAGCTGTACCATTATAAATTCAAGACAGTTTATGCCTTAGACCAAAGAGCTTTGATAGTACATGTCTGGATATGGCAGAATCCTAGTAGTCTGGGGTGGGATGTCTGAATAATATGATCCATTATTGAAAGTATCATGGAGAGATATATATAAAGAATACTATATATATATATAGAACACTCCATGAATTAAGATGTGAGGCTTTAATTACGGATATATATATTAATGTCTTGGGTGGGGAGCTATAACTATGGAGATATATAGAGTAGTTCGTATTTTGTGTGTGAAGATGTATGTATGGGTATACAGAGAGTAGTACTACCTTGTGTGTGAAGCTATAACTATGGAGATATATAGAGTAGTTCGTATGTTGTGTGTGAAGATGTATGTATGGGTATATAGAGAGTAGTACTATCTTGTGTGTGAAGCTATAACTATGGAGATATATAGAGTAGTTCGTATGTTGTGTGTGAAGATGTATGTATGGGTATATAGAGAGTAGTACTATCTTGTGTGTGAAGCTATAACTATGGATATATATATAGAGAGTAGTACTATCTTGTGTGTGAAGCTGTAACTATGGATATATATATAGAGAGTAGTTCGTATGTTGTGTGTGAAGATGTATGTATGGGTATATAGAGAGTAGTACTATCTTGTGTGTGAAGCTGTAATTATGGATATAGAGAGTAATCCGTCTTTTTGTCATGGAACTTTAACTGTAAATATATAAAAAGTTCATGACTTAGGATATGTAGCAATAAATATGGATATATATATATATATATATAGAGAGAGAGAGAGTAGTACTTAGTTCTATTCTTGGATGTGGAGCTAAAAACAATATTTCCAGTCGATTAATACCAGTAATCCTAGCCTGGGTTATATATAACCGATTAATACCAGTAATCCTAGCCTGTGTTATATATATAACCGATTAATACCAGTAATCCTAGCCTGTGTTATATATATAACCGATTAATACCAGTAATCCTACCCTGTGTTATATATATAACCGATTAATACCAGTAATCCTAGCCTGGGTTATATATAACCGATTAATACCAGTAATCCTAGCCTGGGTTATATATAACCGATTAATACCAGTAATCCTAGCCTGGGTTATATATAACCGATTAATACCAGTAATCCTAGCCTGGGTTATATATAACCGATTAATACCAGTAATCCTAGCCTGGGTTATATATATAAAACTGATTAATACCAGTAATCCTAGCCTGGGTTATATATATAAAACTGATTAATACCAGTAATCCTAGCCTTGGTTAAAGACAACTGACTAATACAGTAATCCACCTTATCTTGAATTACATGTGGCTGAGTAATACTAGTAATCATATCTTGGGTTATATATAACCGAGTAATAGCAGTATTCCTATATTGGTTTAAGGACAGTCGAGTAATACCAGTTATCATATACTGAGTTATATATACCCGAGTAATAGGAGTAATGTAGCCTCGGCTTTTAAGAAAATTGATTAGTACCAGTAACCCATTTTGGACCACACACACACACACAGTTGGATAATAAAGAACATTCCTTTCAGATAGTAATATTACAACTAAACTAAATTATGGGAATCATCCCTTAACAGTTCACTGAAAAGCCGCATAGAAAAATTTAGTTTAGCTTTAACTTTCTAGCAACCTGTTTCCGCTCATGTCTTACTTTCAGCCATTTTATGAAAAAAGAAAAAGAAAAAAATGGGGGCATGAGGTTGATTACGATCGTTGGTTACAGTATATCTGGGTTCACAGACACATATGTATAAACAATTATTAGATTATTAAAAGAGCTACATGAGTTATCACATTTTTTTAATACGGGTGGTAAGTGTTAATGATATACAAAACACCCATTAAGTCATATGAATAACTAGCATTGTATACGCTTTAAGCTTTTAATAAAGCAATGTACGATAACAGTGAATTAGAAAGGAAAACATAAGTGCCAAATTGAATGTTCTGGAAGATTGCAATGACTAGTAAATTAAATTTGTAAATAATGTACTATATTTAAATCTTTCTAACCGTAATTAGCGTCATCACAGTCAAGCGTTGGGAAATTTAATATGTACGAACCACTTAAGCAAAGTACAGATTAAGCACCCGATTTGTGGACTATGATAAATAGCCCTCTACACGTCAAGACCTACATGTCGTGTGACTTAGTGTAACCATTCAGACATTTGGTGTGTTTTTTTTCCACATAAACAGGCCTTGTATTATTTCTTGTTCTGGTACATATTATTACATCTTTTTATTTATTTGTCTTGAAAAACTAAAACTGGTAAACTGTGTTCATCAAGTCCATGCATGTAAACTAGGCACCATTTTGAAGCATGTTAATTTGTTGGTAATGTGGGATATTACAAAAGTCAGTATGACATACTAAGGCAACAATGAAAAGAATCAACACTGATTTAAAACGGTGGTTCTCAAACGTTTTCGTCCACTGACCACTTCGTTGGAATAAAAGCCCCCTCGGACCACCTGTTGCGCGTCAGTGACTTGCATTTTGGAACAGCTAGCGAACCACTTGGAGGACCATCTCGCACCATTTTATTACAAGGCGTTGTATAAATTTTTAACTTTTTATCCTGACACTGGCCGTGATAGATTATGTGCTTAACCTCCTGTTGTACAGGGAAGCATTATTTTTATTAACCTACTGTTGTACAGGGAAGCATTATTTTTATTAACCTACTTCTTTTATATTTTTATATTGAACGATTTCTTGGGGTTTCAGCTGAGAATACGTTATGTTAATAGGTACACATTGAGTACACAGATTCCAGTGGTTTTGTAACTTTTAACCATCTGCCTAACAACCAGAGTCGTGGTTTCGAATCTCGCTCGGTTGTTTGTTTTCATTTCGTTAGTGTACAGATAGTTTCTGTCTCTGCTAAAGGCATGTAATAACCCGTTCGCATTAAATTGATTTTACTTTTAGTTTCACATATATTTCAATATTGGTTTAATTATTTATGGAAAAGCTACTAAAGCTATCTGCTGCCGTATTCATTTTAAAGTTGTGGACCACATGAAAGGCAACACACACCGCCAATTCTTGGGTTACTCTTAACCAACGAGA